GATCTAATGAATCTCAAGGCCCATTTGATTCTCATTATTGTAGAATGAGAATGAAAAATATGGCCGTTATTGAACCCCACATAAGAGATAGAAATTCAAAATTGATAGCTTGATATAATAGATAACGATCATATTTTTAATTTTTATGGATGAAAAATAAGAAACAAATGGAGGCTTAATCGCAATTGTCACAATCTTGAATAAAAGGGAGGCCAAATGGTCTCGTACTTGAATGACTCGATTGCTTTTGCTATTTTTGAAGAGATGACAAATTTTAATCATGTCAAGTGTCTTCTCCTTCCTTTTGTTCAATCGAATGTCAAAATTTTTAATTTTAAAACTTTTTATCAACTTTTAAGGACCAATTTAACAATATTTCTATTTTTACTCCTACTTCTTGTAAAATAACTTTTTGAAGAACTTTCTTAATTGGTGTTGAAAAATTAATTTTTAAAATAAAAATTTCTCCTGAAAGAGATTTTAGAGAAAAACACTGTCGTGTCAATTTTCTCTAAAAGCTTTTAGAATTAAAAAAAATACAATTTTATAAAATTAGGACGTTTTTGAATCACATTATTTTGGAAGAATGTATTTTCGAATAATAAATTGATGAAAAATGTGTGGTTGAAAAATATTATTTTATTAAAAAATATGTGGTTGAAAATAAGAGCTTGTCTGACCAAACTTTTTGGCCAGATTTTCATCCAAATTCTTACCGTTGGGCCGCACTTATTGACTGCTACTCTCTCAGCCGGGCCCCACTAACGGTCCTTTTTCTACTGAAAATTCATGGAAAATCGCTATCAGACAGAGCCTAAGTACTTAATGAGAATAAAAATTTTAACGAGACATAAAATTTATCGAAAAATAGTTTTGAGTGTCGGAGCCTATTTTTCAAAGCTATAGTAAATGAGCTGTTAACACAGGAATTTGACTTCCCTTTCTATTTTCGTTATCGGCGTTGTTTCAGATCGATATTGGCGCCCCTTTCATAATTATTCATTCATACGTACAAATTCTTTAAAATCCCCAAATAGAGATTTTAAAAATTCAAGAAAGAATTGTACTTGCAGGATTTTTAAAAAATGTCATTGCGTAGGCGAACATTGCTCAAGGTCATCGTTCTCGGCGACAGTGGGTAAAAACTTTTATTTATTTATTTATTTGAATGAATTAATCTCACAAGTTCTGATCTTAGGTTAGTCTTTAAATTTATGCACTGATTTTTGATTGGGTTTATTTCAGGGTGGGTAAAACATCATTGATGAATCGGTATCCTTTTTCGGTAATTATGTTCATGTCTGTTATTAATTTGACCAATAATGAATATGGTAAGGTTAATTGCTTGTTATTAATACCAGTGCTCTGCGTTTTCTGAGTATGCTTTATTTTTCGAGGGTTCTTTTTTAATTGTGAAATAGATATGTACATAAGAAATTCAGTCATCAGTATAAGGCTACAATTGGTGCTGATTTTGTCACCAAGGAGCTTCAAATTGACGACCGACTCGTCACTCTTCAAGTAGGTTTTAGTTTCCTGAAGAACTGTTTTGATTGAACAAATAGCACAATTGCGTGTATATTCTTGTATTCAAAAGTTCAAAATTGGTTGCTTTAAGTTTTCGAATGTGGGTCTTGCGGTGGCAGATATGGGACACTGCTGGGCAAGAGAGATTTCAGAGCCTCGGGGTTGCATTTTATAGAGGGGCAGATTGTTGTGTATTGGTGTACGATGTTAACGTATTGAGGTCCTTTGATACCCTGGACAATTGGCATGAAGAATTTCTCAAACAGGTTGGTGAATTTATTAGCCCGATCCATGTTTCGGACCTAATGCTTTTTATATATATATAGTTTTTCCGAATGATATTTATTTATTGCAGTAGTATGAGTTTGATAATTTAAAGTGCAAGTGCAGTTCTTTGATAGTGTTTATGCTTTAAGAGAATTTTTTATTTTTCATACAGTGTGGCTATTGTTTAACACTCTGCATATTGTTTCTTCTGATTTTCAAAGTATGCTTAGTTTGTTGATGTTGTGATTCGCCCTTGTTTGAGCCCCATTTTTATGTTAAAAGTGAGTTTTGTAATAGTAACTTTGGAGAATGTGTAGTTAAAAAGTAAGGAAAAAATTTGGATTTACGTGCCAATTATTTTATTGGTAGAATGTGTGGTTGAAAATACTAGTATGAGAAAAAATGAATTATTGTAAAAAGTAAGGAAAAAATTTGGATTTACGTGCCAATTATTTTATTGGTAGAATGTGTGGTTGAAAATAATAGTATGAGAAAAAATGAATTATTGGATAATGGGGCTCAAACAAGGTCATACTGACCTTTTCAATTTTTAACCTGATAGTTGAACCTATCTACAGTTCCCTTTTGCGAGAATCTTAAGTAAACATTGTCTTTTATGTGGATTGTGTTCTTAAGGAATGTATTGTGACAATTTCTCATTTCAATTGCAACATGTGTGTTATGCTCGTTTAGCGGCATTGACAATCTGCTCCATAAGTTTGTCTCTGTCATATTTGACCATAACAGGATATATTAAAGATAATCAAAGGCTATAGAGATAACTTTTATGCAGTATTTAAAACATATCTTAGGAATCTTTGAAATATTAATGTCCATTTCTACTTGTTTGTTTTGTTCTTTTAAAGCCTCTTTAACTTACTACTTTCCCAGAGCATGCTATTTGCATCTTCCATATCGATGATGTTAATGGTAACAACAAATTAAACCATAATCCCAATAAATTTGGGCTGATTATATGAATTTTTGTCGCCACTCTGTTTTATCCATTCTCATGTATACACAATGTCTCTCTCGCCGGTGTGATTTGCACAATTTTATTATAGTTCTTTTCTTCACCTCGAATCTGAATTGCATGTAGGTTGGCTTTTGGGAACTTAGGTGTCTTAGATCTGCTCCTCATTTATGCCTGTTACTCTGTTATATCCTCTAAATGATATCTTTTTGTTGCAATAATATCAACCTATTGTTGAATTTTACGAGGAAGTATAGGATGGTCATAAATGCTTTCTGGAATTGCCAAATTTATTTCCTTTCAGTTATGAGACATCCATTTATGAGAAACTTTTATTGAGTAATTGCCATTTGACAGACAGATATGAAGTCATTGTGCTTAAAGTGCCTAAAATTTGAATAATATATCTTATCTTTTTAGTGACCTTTTATTTTTATTTTTATTTTTTTTGAGTCAAAATTTTGAAATGCCATAGTTTACTCCAACACACTAGTGAGCAGATTTTAGGGGGGGTATTCTGTTTTAATAAGTCGAAGTCTTAAATAGAATCTTTAAACCTGCTTTCTGACATGACCCAAACTATTAGTAAATTTGATTATTGATTTTTCGAAAATCTGCATTGAAATAAGCTGCGGTGGACACCATCTGATACTCATCCGAACTTATACTGTATCTTTCGGATATAGGTATTTAATGCACGTAGTAATCAGGTGGTGATAATTGGGATATATCAAAAAAGCCTGTCGGTTATCCTTTCATTGCTCATTCATCAATTTCTATATTTATATCTTTTTATTTTCTTGTTTCTCTTTTTTAACAAACACCACCTGTGCCTAGGGAGGGGGTTTTGCATGGACCCTACTAGTAGATTGATAAAAATAATGGAGTACAGAAGGGAGGGGGGCACAATACTACCTCCCTTACATCCAAATAAAAGTTTGAAATAAAACAAAGAGAAGAATCTAAAAGTTTATAGCAAACACAAAGAACTTGTAATTTATCTGGCCAAATCAAACCACGAAATTTTACTTTAATTTCCAAGGGCTCTGTGATCTCCAGTTCACCTGCACTGAATCCTTTGTTTGCTAGATAATTTGCCGGGCTATTACCTTTATGATATCTGTGATCCAAAAGTGCATGTGAGCCAATGTGTCTCTAATAGCTTCTCGTGTATATTGGAAAATCCCTATATTTATTGTTGTTGTTACTATTAATTTCTTTGCATTTCTTCTATGTCAAAAACCTTAGCCTTTTAAAGTTATCAATTTAAACTTTCTTTGCTGTACGTAAACCATAATATACATTAAAAAATCCTCTTCCCCTTTCAATTTGTAATGGCAGCATCACTTACTATCAATTTTTTCCTCTTCCCCTTTCAATTTGTAATGGCAGTTTCATAAAAAATCAATGAAAATATTTTAAAACTATATGATGGTTCTTTGTATTAAAGATTTGTTATTTACTTTTGGTAAGCAAATGAGATTTGGCCTGGTCCATATGTTTTAGCAGCATGTGATGAGGGAAAATGTCACCTACCTGTTTATTGATCCTTTGAACAGAAGTTTGCTATTTGCCTATTTTATTTGAATGGTTTAATTATACTAGTGTAAGGGCATAGTATATTGAGCTGAATTCCCCCAGAACCATTATTAATTGTCCAAAGCTTTATATTGAACTTGTACAACTATATATTTTCATAAATTTACGCTTAGTTTTAATAATTGAAATAGGCAATGGTTCCTTCTGAATTAACATTGTTTGCTTGCAATGCAGGCAAACCCAGTGGACCCCAAGACGTTCCCTTTTATATTACTAGGAAACAAAATCGATATAGATGGTGGAAATAGCAGAGTGGTAAGTTTAGTTGCAGTGCTGTATTTAGCCTGGCGTTGCTCACAATTAGGCTAATTTTTCGAAATACAGGTTTCTGAAAAGAAAGCAAGGGAATGGTGTGCATCAAAAGGGAACATACCTTACTTTGAGACATCGGCAAAAGAGGATTACAATGTTGATGCTGCATTTTTGTCTATTGCGAAGACTGCTTTAGCCAACGAGCATGAGCAGGACATGTGAGTATTCATTTAAATAAATCAAGTATTTGCCGTGAGGGCGGCTTTTTCATTCCTCTGCTTTGATCTTCTGGTTCATAACTGTTTTGGGTTATGTTCTCTAATTTATTTTTCTCTAATTCCTGATTGCTTATGTATCTTCCAGTGTTTTGCTTTTAATTCTTTTCACTTTTGCATTACAGATACTTCCAAGGGATGCCTGAGGCTGTTCCTGATGAACCACGAGGCGGTTGTGCATGTTGATTTGGAGTGTGGAATTGATTTGAAAGCCATCTATAACTTATTGTTCGTGTAGCTTTCTTTAGGTCGTTATTTGTCGTCTTTCGTTTTTAGCATTATTGTACACTTAGCTCTCAAGATTAAGACATGATTGTTTTATTTTTCCATGCTATCGTGAGATTGAGATTGTAGCACGACTGTATTTTTCATTTTTCGCACTGATTGCAAATTGTGAACGGTGAAAGCCCGACTTTTGTTCTTCATAAATCTTGAACATTACAGCAGCAGTTGTGGATCTGTGCAAATGTTTCCATGTCTTAACGTTGAGCCTTGCAAGAAGCAATAATTTACTAGAATTCTATTGGGATTCTGAGTTCATATCATGCACCTGTTATTTATGTATTGGAAAATGATATTGGTACACCCGGGATTCACACCCGTTACAATCGTGCAATATTTTCCAAAAACTTTTCCTACATTATCCTTTTGTCATGCCCTGCTAAACCCAAGTTTCTTTAGAATATGTATATTCCTACTATATTAAAAGAGTGAATCAGTTTATTACTGTTCATTCTTGAAACTTTTTTAAATCTCAATTCATCCATATCCATCATCTACTATTCATGTGAGGCTTAAGGTGATTTGGACTCCTTCTTACCACATGCCTATAATTGTTGACTTTCTATCATTTCGCTACTCTTCCAATCAATCCATCGTTTATATCCCTATCTCTACAATCTTAAAATATGTAACCCACTGTTTACTGTTCATTTATGAAGCTTTTTGTTTATCCCATTGTGATTGATCGGTAAATCTATTAAGTTATTTTTTTATGGCAATGAGCTTGCCTATGAAAATGATATGAGTTAATTTAAAAATGATTTTTTTTCATTTCAGCCAAAAAAACGAATCCAAATAATAATAATAATAAATCCGGCATTGGTACTCCGCACTGTGCGGAGCATCTCCGCACAAATGCGCCGATAAACACATAGCAAAAAAAAACAAAAATCATTTATATCTTATATATTTCAAAATTGTATAATACATTTAAAAATAACATTAACCAAATTTACGACACTTATTTTTAAATTTAGATGATAACATTTGCTTACATTTTACATAAAGTAAGTACATTTTCATTTATTAATAATTTAAGAACTTTGCTACACTTACACACTTTGGTACACAACTCTCTCACACGTGTATGAGTCTCACAATGTGGGCCCTACAATGTGGACGTCACACACATGTGAGAGGGTTGTGTACCAAGTATGTATAAGTAGCATTTTTGATAATTTACTTCAAAAACATTTTTAAAAAATTACAAAAGCACACAATCATTTACAAATTAGGTTGATCCCCGCCAGGGGGCGTTGCCCCCTCAACTTGACCTGTCAAGTCGATCCCCGTTGGGTACATTGCTTTCGAATCCCCACGAGGGGTGCTGCCCCCTCGACCAACCGGGTAAGTCGATCCCCGTTGGGGGCGTTGCTCCCAAACCCCCGAGAGCTGATCGGGCAGGCCGTTCCCGCCGGGGGTGTTGTCAAACCTACATTTGTATTTCCTTGGTTATGATTATCAGATAATATTTTTGCTCCTTTATTTTCCACTGAACTTTCTTTTTTGTTCAGTGGGTACTTTAAAATATTTTAGTACAGAGCACAAATATGAGTTGTCAAACGTTTGGAAGTTTAGAAAGATTAATATTGTCCCTATTTAATTCTTCATTGGAAAAAATTTNATATATATATATATATATATATATATATTTATTATTTCTCCGCATTTATCACGAAAAGGAAAAGTCAAAATCATTGTTCTCTTCGTGTTTCAGCTGTGTTTTTAGTTTTGAATTCATTTTGAGTTTTGAATGTCCATTTTGAGATCGTTGAAAACATGTTCTTTTTACCATTTTTAAAAATTGTTTTGAAAAAGCGTTTTTGAGAAATTTTGGCCAAGTTATAACTGAATACACATTTTCTTTGTAAATTTTAAACTTATTTTTAAATTTTGAAAAATAGAGAAGGGAACATATTTTCACTGTTTTGAAAAATCGAAAACATAAAACGAATTCAAAACATGAAAAGAGAATGTACCTTAATATTGTCGTGTGTAATGCCGCGGTCTACAAATCAGTCTACGTGGCAAAATACAAGCCTGAGAATGGCACAACCTTTCCTAAACTCTGCGTTGGCCAACCTCACAAGTACTTCTGCATTCGTCTTCACGGGAAAATTCAAACAACTTTTCACATTCAAAATTCGTATCTCAATTCGATCACTCGCCATGTTTCTTATTAAGGTGAAAATGGATTATATAACACCCGATTTTTTATTTTTATTATTCTCCCTTTTTTCTTCTAATACTTTCTTATTTTTATAGACATGGAGATCAATAGCATTTGGCCTATATGGGTACACAAACTTCACCAAATCTGGTTTCTTGTAAGTTCCGTTTGATTATTATCTGCATAAACTGTTCTGTATCTATCTATTTTGTTATGGGTTCTTCTCTGAATTCAATAATTCAAATAGTGCGGACATTGCACTTGCTTTTATTATGGCTGATTGATTAAAAAGAAAAGGGAACTATTGGTTTCTGCTATGTCGTGGGTGTATATGAGTGTTCATAATGGTGAAATTTAATTAATTTATTATTTATTTTTTCATGTGATCAAAATTCATATGCTATGTGAAATCTGGACTTTCATTTTCTTCTTGATTTCCTATAAACCTAGCAACGAATAGAACGGAATGAAATTATTGAGATTAAGGCTTAGTTTGTAGTAGTTTTTGTTTTTGTCTTCTTCTTCGAGGCAGTTTCTTCTTGTGACACGGTTAATTTTCATTGTCGATGAAAACTAGAAAAGATGTATTCATGAAGGAAATATGATTTTGAGCATGGAATTTCAAAGTGGAATTTTGGTTAGGAAATTGTTGCTTGTTTATGAATGCTATGCATTGATTTTTTAGTAATTCGGATTACAATTTAACATTAGGGAACATGCAAAAAAGTTCAAACCAGAAGACATGCAAGCACAAATAGAAGGGAAGAACTGCATCATTACAGGAGCTAATTCGGGAATTGGTTATGCAACTGCCGAGGGTCTTGCTTCACGGTGTGAATTATATGTCTTAACTCCTTAAGATCTTTCATTGGCTTTGCACATCATTAGGATCGCGTTTGAAAGAATACTTAGATGATTGGCTTTTGTTGATGTAATTTGTATAGCGGGGCAACAGTATATATGGTATGTCGGAACAAGGAGAGGGGAGAAGCCGCTCTTTCGAGAATTCAGACAGTGACAGGCAATAAAAATGTTCATTTGGAGGTTGTTTGGTTTCGAGCCTCATTTAAAAGTCAATTTATGTTTACATTGATTCTTTTTTCATATTACTGGTACTTATTTATACCTGGCAGGTGTGTGATATTTCTTCTATCAGTGATATCAAGTCATTTGCCTCTAGATTTTCTTCGAAGGATGTGCCTGTTCATATCTTGGTGAGTCCACTTTTTATTGTCTTTTTAAAAGAACTGTAAATTTTTTATTGTAGACCAGTAACATAAGGTACGTAATCTATGCACACCTAGTATAATTATTTTTTTGAATGTATTATGTAATTCAGTTGACATTTGTGGACAATCTTAATCTCATGTCATTAAGCAAGCATGTGTGGTTTTGCTTTTTTTAATACAGCACATTCTTCTCATAACATATGATCCTTTCACTTGTTAGATTCTTAACTCTTAAGTGTCAAATTGTAATGATTGTGAAGCTAATATCAATAAATTTTGATTCATTAGGTCAACAATGCTGGTTTGATTGAGAATAAGCGCATTATTACCTCAGAAGGGTATGCCAACTTTCTTTGTATTCAGGAACGTGTGCACTAATTCTCATTCTGCTTCCTCGCTCCTTAAACTGGTGCAATGCATTGATTTTTTCTATATATCAGATTTGAGATGAATTTTGCTGTAAATGTTCTGGGCACTTACACCACGACCGAATTGATGTTGCCATTGATGGAAAAAGCTGCACCTGATGCTCGTGTTATCACAGTGTCCTCAGGCGGAATGTACACAGCTCCATTGACCGAAGATCTACAGGTAAGTTTTCTGCAGCTGATTGTTACTTTTTTATTAGTTCGTAGAATTTGTGAGATATATTGTAACTTATTTTTGCAGTTCAACAGTAACAAGTTTAACGGAGTGGAACAGTATGCCCGGAACAAGCGAATTCAGGTATGCACAGTTATTGGACCTGTCAAAACTTAGGACATTTAAACTAAGCCTCTTCTCTTTCATAATGAAAACTCGTATTAGTATTTTTCAATAGGTATTTAAAGTCACTGGTAAGTATATCAGTCCTCTAAGGTGCAGGGAAACTACATTTTGGCCAATCTCAAAAGTTAAACTTGTGTTCAAGTAACTACTTGTTACCAATTACCAAACATATTTAGTCATTTAGATATGTTCCTATATTTCTTAAAAGTAAAAAAGTTACTTATTTTGATGGTAAGTTAAGGATCACTTTCAAAATGAGTAACTTATTTTTAATCTTGACCAAGAATTTTCTTGATTCTTTTTTATTTTTATTTTGAACTCTATAATTTACTTACACGTAAACTCACATAAGTATTTTTTATGCTTAGCTAAAGATAAAGCTTAACAAGAGAAATGCAATTCTGGTAAAATGAGTCAGAAGTTGAGAGGTAGATCAACGTTAAATTGGCCTAATGTGGTCATCAGTTATTTAATTTTGTTGGACACTTTAGTAGTGGTAGCTTTGGATTGAACTGAATGTCGAAAAAAGTTTCATGCAGTTGACCCCAAGCTTTTTTGTGAATGAAGGCTTATCTTGTTTTTTTCATTTATACTAATGCAAGGAATCATGTTTAAATTTTCTTTCAGGTAGCACTGACAGAGAAATGGGCCGGAATGTACAAGGACGGAAGCATTGGGTTCTACTCAATGCACCCTGGGTGGGCTGAGACTCCCGGAGTTGCCAAGAGTATGCCTGGCTTTTCAAACGCGTAAGATTCTTCGACCCCGGAGGTTGCTTTTAATTGCCATAGTATTAATTGTTCTAGTAAAAATGCGGTTTTCTCGTTGAACATTATTAATTTTTAACAGACTTGTCCAGGTTATCGGGAAAGCTTAGAACGAATGAGGAAGGTGCAGATACAGTTATATGGTTGGCATTACAACCAAAAGAAAAACTCACATCAGGAGGGTTCTATTTTGACAGAGCTGAAGCACCTAAGCATTTGCCATTCACTGCCACAGGGGTTTCTGGTAATGCTATAGACTCCATTGTTCGTAGCCTCCGCACATTGTCGGGTCTTCAAAGCAGCGTATAATCTTAACCAAACATGCTTGTAATGCTTCACCTGCACTTGGCAAGTAAAGCTGAAGATGGTGTTATTTATTACCTGTATTTCGTACATTAATAGCTTGTTTGGTAAGACGGAATGGACAATGATGGGCAGGGGAAGAAAATGGAAGTATTGTCAGTCTGTTATATACTGTTTCGACCTTGTAACAATTACAAGTTTAATTTATCCCATTAAAAGTGATCAATTTTTGTTCTCTTATTCCACTTTATTTTTTTTTTCCTGTTTCCCCCTTCTGCTTCTCCTCTCCACTCTCGTGTGTTCTACTGATGCTTGAGACAGTCTTTCAAGCAGTAGCGAAATGGAGGGACGAATGAGGAGGTAAGATATGTGGACACAACAAAGAAAACAGGGAGACAATAAGGAAGAAGGGAGGGAGACACGATAGTACGAGATAAGGAGATCGAAGTGAGAGAAGATGATAACAAGAAGATGACCCAGTTTGAATGGTATTTTTGACAAATTTCTTAGAAAAGAAACATAGAGAGTAGGGGTGGCAATGCTTTGCTATCCTTACTCCTTAGACACAGGCTCGCTTTGTGTCCACCAATTAGTCTTCATTTGGATCTCATGGGCCTAGAGGAGAGTTGAGAGCCGTCCACGAGCCCATGACTCACCTCCTTTTTATAAAGAAATTAATTCAAAAATAAAACAAATCTAGCCCACGAACCAAAAATGAGCTGATTCATAGAAGGTGTAATTATGCCTGTTACCCTCCAAAAATAACAACTTAGAATAATACCCTAAAATCGATTAAAATTTTTAGTCCCATAATATATACGCTCAAAACCCACCTTAGACGTATGTGGAGAAGATGGAAAACCCATCAAGGATGCCGGGTGGTGCCACCTAGTGACTCTCCTATCATAGTGTCTTCTTTAATCAAAACATTGTGGCAATAATTACCCACAATTTGGCATGACGGTCGTCTATTTTCTATCATTTTGTCAAAAGGACGCAACTGTATTGTTTCCCTATTTTGGTGTGTGGTCCAGGAATGGAATGGGTTAAAGATGGGAAGAAAGACAAGATGGGGGGTTTTGGTAACACTTGTGAGCGTGAAATGAATTGGAACTTGCGCTAGCATGGGAATTATTTGTAAATCTAGTGGCAAAGACGAGTGTGTTACGCAGAGCGGAATTGGTGCTTTTGAAAAGAGGGGAAGAAGAAAATGTGTTTAATGTTCGTTCATACATTCAGTTGCGATTCTTTTAGGTGGTCTTTCTTAGTTTCTTTGGTCGTGATATCCAAAAGGTGATTTACCTCCAATTATCCAGATTTTTTCTTGTTTATTTGTCATGACTAGTTGTGTTCTTGTGTGAGTTCAATCTTAATATGTTCTTTGATTGGACCTTCATCTTTAGCTTAAAGATAATTTGAATGTGTTGAGATTTTGTTACTTTCAGGGGCTACTGCATATATTGAGCAATCAATTTATTAGGTTTTTGATGTAATTGGCAAATTTATGAACAGAATGTACTAGATTTAATGTGCTTAAAACTCAAGGAGTAAGTTGCAAATATAATAAATTGAGTTGTATTAGGTCGAGAATGGAAATAAGGAAAAAAAACGGCACCGCAATTTCGCTAGACTGTCGGCAGAAACAGAAACATTGTCGCAAGCCTGTCACCTGGCTTTCGCTCGAGCGATACACCGTTGCTCGCTTGTCGCCCAACTTTCGCTCGAGCAACAAGATTATCCAAAGAATTTTAATTCACGTTTTAAGGCTTTTTATCCGACTCATTCATTCCTAAACGTACAGTATAAATATCAGATAGCCTCTGAACGTCTTTTCTTAAGGTTGAACATTAAGAAAACATTGATTGCTTCATATCCTCTCTATCCATAACTTTCAACCTACTTAATCCAAATACCAAACTGCTACTTCTTACACATCTGTCAGAGTGCTGAAAATCAATGGAAGGTGATTGGAGTTCAGTTGTTGGAGAACGCTGAGTTCTTCGTTGATCCACAGGAAATATACGAATTTATAAAGTGGGGAGTTGGTGTAGGAGCCCACAATCCATGAAGGCTTTAAAAATTACAACTGGGAGTTAGTGCAAGAGCACGCAATCCAGGAGAGCTGTGAGAATTGCAGTTAGGAGGACAGAAAGTACTAATGGTAGTCGAGTCTGGAGGACTGTAAGTTCTAATTCGTTTATAGTAGATTGTTGACTAGCAAAGTGCCCAGAGTTTTTACCCTGTTGGAATTTCTCTGTGATCATTCCTGGTGTTTATTTATTGTTTTCATATAATTGCGACAATTCAACTTAGGAAAATTGACTTGATTGATTAACCATCTAGAGATAATTAATAGTGACTTATTGCTAGTTAATTATTAAATTTTAATTCCGCATTAACACCTATTCACCCCCCTCTAGATGTAATTTGGGTCGAACCTCGTAATTTCAATTGGTATCAAAGCTACATTTCGATTCTTGACCCATGGCCATAAATTAATCTAGATGAATCAGTTTCTATTCGTGCCTCTGTTTTTTGACGGAAGCAACTATGCTTACTGAAAAGTTTGAACGAGAGCATTCCTTAAAGCGTTGGATGAGCGTATTTGGATCGGTGTATTAAACGGTTGGACTCACCTTCATCCATCGTTGTTGGTGTTGTTATACCCACTGATATTTCTCTTTGGACCAAAGATCAAGTTGCTATTTGCAACTGGAATTGTAAAGGGCTGCATGCTCTATTTATAATTGTGTTTGCAGAGGAGTTTAAGAGAGTGTCGATGTGTGAAACTGCTAAAGAGGTTTGTAATATCTTAGAGACCACACATGCGGGTACCAAAACTGTTAAGAATTCTAAACTATAAATGTTAACATCTAGGTTTGAAGAAATTTGAATGAAGGACGATGAATTGTTCGATGACTTCTATGGGAAGCTAAATGATAGAGTAAACTCGAGTTTCAACCTAGGTGAGAAGATCCCCGAGTCTAAAATAGTTCGAAAAGTCCTTAGATCCCTACTTGAAATGTTTAGACCTAAGATCACTGCTATTGAATAACATAATGACTTAGATGAAGTTAAGATAGAG